CGCAGACTCATCCATGATGAATAGAGTATGAAAACCATGCCCGCGAGGTTATTTTCCTCTACTGGACCGAGAGGTACTTGAGTCATGCAAGTACTCAATGTGAATTCTAATTCAGTAGAAGAATGATAAAACTCTGAGGGTGCTTTACGTGGGATGATTGTAATCGGTAGAGTACTGCTAGTATCATACCTCTTGGGAACCATCTATGGAGTTATCGAGTCCATATTCAATTTCATCCGACAAAGCTCATTCAAACCCTGGAATAGGAAGGAGGTACTATAATGCCCTTACGTTGAAAATTCAACTTTGACACAACGTCGCACAGCATCAACTTTTCTTGCAACTCGACACAAAGTAAAGTTGTAACACCGTTGTAGTACCGTTGTACAATGCAACTTTTCATTTGGAAAAGAGTTGTAACTCCGAACATTGCCATCAACCTTTTTTCAACGTTGACACAACGTTGTTGTGCCGAATGGGATCATGGCCAAAATCCGACTTCGAAAATTCATTATGTCTCAAAAACCTTTTCACCAACAGTCATTCAGCTGAATTTATGGCTTTTGCCCTGTCTCGATGCAAGCTCCAGGTTCTTTCTCCTTTAACGAGGCATTCCTGCTGTTGGAAGGCGCAGTTCCGCATCATTTCTCATTGGGTTTTCGTTGGCTCCCGAGGAGTTCAAAATATCCTTGAAATATCGGAAGTTTCTGAACAGATTTCTGAGAAATAATTAAAAAAATCAATGGTCTCCTGGAGCATTGTCCTGCAGTGTGCAACTTGTGTGAGCTCCATCAGCTTAGGACTTTATATTTGCATTAATTTCATTAATATTCATTTAATTTTAATATTTTAACTCTTGGAGACTCTTCGTGACTCCACGGATAGATGGTTTCCAGATGAACTGGGCAGAAAAATACGTATTGATGGAGCAGTCGAAAGCGCAAGCTCGAGGAATTCCAAGTGAAGCAGATACTCCAACCGCCTTCACCCTCCAACTGCCTCCCAGAGCTTAACCCTTTCATTGTATAATTTAAAAAATCCCTCACGACCTCCACCGTGTTATAAGAATTGAGTTGCGTCTCTGCGAAGAATGGTTTAAGTTTAAATTGTCCTATCTTGAAAACTATTGATGATAGACCAAAATGTGTTTAAAAATTAATTTCCAGGAACGGCCAGAGTGTTATCAGAAAAGTGCACGAATTTTGAGATGCGTATAAATCCATTGACAGACTTGATTTTACCAAAAGCCGAGATGATAAAAAGTTTATCAGTTTCCAGAGATACTGAATAAAGACCGTATTGTAATGCTCATTAAAATTAGTGCCAAAATAAATGTACGAAATTCCTATATAGGGAGGTTTCTCCTTTGTCCTACCCTTGAATATTCACTTAGAGCTGTGTTAAAAATAAGGTCTGATGCCAATGTATACCTGTATGTTTCTGTTATTACATGTTCAAGGAGGTTTCCGTGAACACATATTGCTAAGAACATATAAATTGACCCGGGTCATCTGTGAAAATTAGTTCAGAATCGTCTATCTCAGGGAGATAGGAATATTCAATTTCAACCTAGGATTTCCTGTAAAAGTCAAGAAATGAGTTGCATGGGGATTATCGCTAAACTAAGATACATCAACAGTTTTTCGCCCCCTTGGTCTACCTTAATTCCTGCTTGCATCTCCACTCCCATCATCGTAATCTTCATCTCAAGCTTCGACTTCAACTTCCATTTCTACATCACCTTCATTTTCACTACTAACACAGAAAATACCACAATTAGCATTTAAAATTATATTTATTTCATCATCATCTAACGCAAAACTAAGTGCCTAGGAAGCCATTTTTACAGAATGGGTCGATAAAGATACGCACATTATTCTTTTGTTATTCAATGCTTCCAAAAGTCATATACGTCGAAAAGAAGTAGCCCTGTTATGCAGAAAAGGATGTATTTTGTTTTAAATACCGAATATATGTCAGTTACATCCGTAAATAGAGGGAAAAACAACCTAAAAGAACTGGGTTTCAGAGCCCGAGTACGTACTCGGGCTACCACCGTGAAAGCGTCGTGCGCAGCCCGAGTATATACTCGGGCTAACAGCGAAAGGGTTAATTCTAATGCATCCTTCCCATTCCAAGGGTTGGATGGCAGGGATACCTCATTCAAAATTGAACCGGGAGATGGCGCCACTGTGCGTCATCTCAGGTCGAAAGAAAACGAAAATAGATTCCATTCCATAGCAATTGCGGGAAAAGAACTTTTGTGCGATGTGTTGATATTGCATTGAAAACTGCGCAGGTCTGACTTGGAGGGGAAATGGTGTAATTCGCACGACGACGTTAAACGATGGAAAACTTTGATGTCCGAAATTCCCAGTTCAGACGGCAACTTTTGATTTCAGCATTCACGGGGAATTTTAGACTTTTTCCCGCTTATGACTGTTTAATAGAGATTTATTTCACATCGACAAGGTGCTAATGTTCATCATACCGTTTGCAATGGCGTAGTCAGAAACAAGTTTCTGAGAGGAGGGATAAGACTTTTTCCAATCCCGAGAGACTTGACAGCGTTGGCACTGCGCAGCACGATGCCTTTCGGTATTGCCAAATAGAATTGCATTTCTTAACTTCCATTCGGAAAACGAGGAACGGAGAAAAAGGAAATTTCTTGTATATGAGACACGAAACCGAGAAAAAGTGAAACAAAATACAGTGAAACCGAAATGAAACAATATATTTTGCAAAATATGCGAAGGTCGGATGAGGTCGGATAAGGCTGGATAAGGTCGGATGCCTTTCAAGGTTCTCGACCCGACTCGACCGGAAAATCCGCGAGAGAATCCGGCCTTCAGTCGCACTCGTCATAGAGCCGGACCAAGTCGTCGAAAGTCTCTCTGCGCCGGATGACCCTCCATCCTTGCCCCGCGACCAAGACCTCGGCCGCCCGGGGCCGGAGGTTGTAGTTGGATCCCAGCACCGCCCCGTACGCCCCTGCGTCCCAGATGGCCGCGAGGCTCCCCGCGGGGATCGAGCGGGGGAGTCGCCGACACTTCCCGAGGAAGTCGCCCGACTCGCACACCCCGCCCACCACGTCCATCTCCTCCGACTCCTGAGACACCCGATCATCAGTTTAAATTCTGCAGGAGTTGAAGAAATTCTGAAAATCAATCTTTCACTGTTTCTTAGTCGAAGGCTAAAATTTCCCATTGGGAAAATATTATGGGTGGGGTAGAAAAGCAACAAAAACCAAGGATGGTTTTTAACTGATTTACTAATCAGGGACCCACCGAATAAGTTTGAGTACTCCAACACTATTTCCTGAAGTTTGCCCCAAGTTGTTTGATCGAAAAGATGGAATCGAGGCCCTTCAAGGCCGAATTTCAGGCTCCATGAAGTGTGGCATGCACGTGAGATGCTCCCTGTTTTCAAAGTTATTTTCGTTTATTTAAGACTTGGTATCTTCTAATCCGTCAGTGGATTCTGGCTTGCTAGTGAAAAATTAATGGCCTTGTTAAATTAATTAATTAATGGCTTGTTTTTTTTTTTGGCCCACCCTGTGATTTTTTCACATCTGAGCTAAATGAAGCCGGTCCTAAAACTTGCGAATCCTGTTTAAAGAAGAAAAACTTCCTTCCAGTTCTTATGCTACTCCAGCTACAAAAAAAAGCAAAAGCGACATCGAATGAGACTCTCTTAAAAAATCATGGGCCACTCTTCCTAAGATGAGGTATGAAATAATGAAAACGAAAGTGACCTCGTGTTGGCCCTGAACGACGAGGCTGATATGGTGGTAGGCGCCGTAGAGGCTCGGTCGGATGAGGTCGGTCATGGCTGCGTCCGTCACTGCGAATCGCTTCGTCTCGTTCCCCTTCACTCCCAGGACCCGAGTCACCAGAACGGCTGCGAGGTCATTCATCGCTCATTTCAATTTTTTAAACGAGCATTGCTATTTCATTTATTGAACGAAGGCCTGATGGTATTCATATGTACAGTATATGCTGTACTTCCGTATGATTCAGCGATCATTTTGCGATTTTCACATTTCTTTTGTAAGTCCTATAAGTTTTCCTATCGGTCACGAAATCAGTGGTTATAATTGTGGCCTACCACTGCTTCTCTCATCCGATGTATGAAACGAGCACCTGCATTGCCGACGATGGAGCGGCCAGGCTCCAGCCACAGCCGCCAGGGGAAGGCGGCCTCCCTCAGCGCAGAGACGACGTGACGCATGAGGTCGCTCGGCAGGGGTGCGTGGGGGGAGCCGTCCCTCTGGTAGTCGATGCCGAGGCCGCCTCCGATGTTCAGGATGTCCAGGTCCTTCCATCCGTCGGCGCGGAGCTGAGAGAGGGTCAAGACTTACCGGGGAAGACTTGAGTGAAGACTTGGTGGGGAACTTTCTTACCTGGTCGCCGAGACGGGCAAGGAAGCGGAAGTTTTCCACAAGAGTAGAGGTGTCCTTGATGGTGCTGCCTAGGTGGGAGTGGAGCCCGATCAGCTTCATCCGAGGGTGGCTCTTTATTTGCTGAAGTATCTGGACGGAACGGGTTGAAAAGGAAAATTTTCTGTAGAGATTTTCGCTGGGTTTTAAAAGGGAGTAGCATTTTGGAAATTTAAGTCAGATTTCTGCCATGCTATTAAAACGGGCAACTAGTTTGTTCTGGTACCGTTGGGGAGTGGATGAGTTTGCCTCTAACTTCGAGGGACAAGGACAATTTCAAGGACGATGAGCAAGGTTAACTGCAAGGACAATAAGGCGTGGGATTTTTTCTATCCGCTTGGGGCATATGGAGTGAGTCTTCTCTCATCAAGTTCAACGCGTCAGGGTGATGAATTCATAGTATCGCTGAAGCATTTAACATATTTTTACCCTGTGCAGGAGTCAAGTTATAAGTTCAGCCTGTTCTATCGAATATACAGGGTGTCACAAAAAGTCAGGAGTCATTGGACTGCACATGGAGATCACTTTCAGCCGACACCTTTTGAAATTTATACATCAACCCGAGTCGATGCTCAAAAGTTATCTTCACAAAATCTAGTTTGAGTGACCCAGAGGTGGCCTATTCACTCATCTTGAGCATAATTATCCGAGTGACCCAAGTTGACTAAAATAGACTTAGAGTTGCTCGAAGTGGTTCGAGTTGGGCCAATGGGTCAATCGGGTCACCTCGACTCGCTTCAGGTCATTCAGGGACAGTTTTAGGGAACTTTGGGATAATTGAGTTCAAGTTAGATGAATAGGTCGATCTGGGTCTCTTTGAGCCACTCTGGATGACTGACCAGACTTTACGACGGAAAAGAACTAGGGATTATGGTTTTAAAAAGTCTCGGCGGGAAATGATTCCTGGCTTCTGTTACACTCTGTATTCGGACGGAAGAGGTATTCCAAGATATCTTCTCGACTTTAAATGGGCTAACTCGAGATGAGTCTCTTTCATTATCTTCTCACTGGAGATGCTTTCCAGCGAAGAACCTCCACGAAAAGACATGTAGCTCAGTGAAGTCAGCATCGCGCTGTAAATTTGAATGATGAATACTAGTGTTATATTAATATAAGAATTAATCATATTTTATATAACGGCAAAAAAATTAAATAATTAAGTATAGTATATTTAGAGTTTTTGAGCCAGTCTTCCAGATTCCATCTTAAACTTATTTCCAAATATGGACCTCATGGTCCGTTGGGGTAAAAGTGGTTGAATCACCTCCTCGACCTCATCGAGCGCGACCCCGAACTTGGATCCGGCAGAGGTCCGATTGTAGGAATGGACCGAGTCCAGCTGGGGGAAGGCAGCCTTCACCCGGATGAAGAGAGAGGCGGGGGTCGCGAGTTCGTCGCAGGCGAGGGCAATCCGCGAGGCGTCGAAGGGGGAGTCGATGTTCATGAGGCAGCCCTGCCCCACGGCGTAGAGGATCTCCCAGCTGTACGGAGGGATCCGTCAAAATTAGCGTGTGAATTGATTAATGCATCACGATACATAATTTAGAGTCTGTTTCATGTCGATTCGTGCCAATATCGACTGGAAAAAGTAGGTTTGAATCCCAAGTGGGCTGCTCAAACACATTTAATAATTAATAATTAATTATACATAATAAATTAATAAATAAACTTTAAAATGAAACTAAACTCATGTCAACTCCGACTTGGAGAGCTTCAAAAAGCGTGAAAATTTGGATCGGCAGAACTCACGTGTCCTTTCCGTTCCCGTTGAACATGATGAGATGGGGCGGGAACCCCTCCCGCCGGGCGAGGCGCATCTCGGCCCCCGACACGGCCACCGCCCCCATGCCCACGCGCCGCAGCACGCCCAGGATCCCCGGGTTCGGGTTCGCCTTCAGGGCGTAGCCCGCCACGATCCGATCGCGGAGGTCGGGGGGAATTTCTGACAGGTAGCCTGGTTCAGCCGACAAATTCATTATTCCTCTATTTTTGCTTCGAGTCAGGAAGTAGACGGACGCGATTAACGGCGTTGGCCTGCCGATTAATGAATGCAATGGATTTTCTTTCATTTGATCGCAAGATTTTAAAAACTTACATTTTGACCAGTAAACTGCTACGCTTTGGAGAATTCTTAAGTAATCCTTAGACGGCTGTGACTTTCACAATCTTCTCGGAAGTAGAGCAGACTCACCGTTGGCATTGTCCCTTATCTGCCCCTCGCTGTAGACAAAATAAGGCGTGGGGATACCCCTTGCCCCGAGGCCCTCAGTCAGGGTCACCAGGTCCACGTCTTCGCAGTGCAAGACGCCGTTCACGTATTCCAACATCTTCGGAGCGACGAGGCTCGACGACTGATCTGTTTTCCTTGTTTGTTTATGGAGCTGTGTCGGTGGTGATGGCTGAGGGTGACGTGCGGCAGAAGGCTTTGCCCCGAGCCGTACCATAATAACATTATTCATATAATGATAATATTTATTCAGTTAGACTTGCAGGGTCCGTTGACATCAGACAGACTCATCTGCCTTCAGAGGAATCATTAGTTGCATTCATATCTGTCTCGAAAATGTCCAGATAACAAGAGTCCTTGAGCCGTTTGGCAACGTAGACGTTTCAGCAAAAGCTAAGAAATTGGAAAAGGGAAAAAAATAATATGGGAAATTTAACTGTAGACGGGAGCCTCTGCGAATTTGAAGCCCGGCTGATCAGAAGGAAAAAGGGGAAAACATTTTTTAGAAGTCTAAAATATGCCATCAGCGACGCGTGGACGTCATTCAGGTTATACGGAATGCTAAATAAAATTGAAGCAGGTATCTGTTATAAAATCCACTGCCGCAAAAATAAATGCGGAAATGAGGTCTTGGAGAGCGAGTAAAATACGGAAAAACTTCCAACTTTCGGCCCATAGGGTAATTTGGGGGAATATGGCCCTACAAAATGAAACCTGGTCATCATGGCCTGTCAAGGTTGAATTTGACTTTTACAATGTTTCTAAAATATTGATTGATACAAGCCAGCAAGCCTTTGCTACATGCCAGCAAGGCGTATGCAAAAAAAAAAACATGGTTATGGCGCCTTTGGGTCTTTTTCGAGTACCAGAGTTCTCCGGTATAATTGGGATATCAACCCCCTTATACCGGTGAAGACTTTTTTGTTGAGGTCCAACAGGTCCTTGCACACTTTATACGACCTTGTACGACTCATGGAACTTTGTACTATTTCGACTCTCAGCAGTTGAAAATGAAACACTAACTGCAACGAGGACAAACAAAGAAGTCGACATCATTACCTGACTCGAACCTCATGCCCGCCTCATGCCCTGCCCCCTCACGTACTGCATATTCCGCCCAGATGTCCAGTACGTCAATCCAGATATCCAGAGGAAGTGCGTTGGATGATCTCTTGCAGCCTGAGATCCCACACGAAAGGAAGCTGACACTATCAGTCGGTCTGTGCGGTGCTGACATGAAATGAAGGATGTGTCCATATTACCCCAAAACGAGATGGCCATATTCCCCCATATTGGCTCACATTACAAAAATTAACAACACTGCCTACAAACCGCAAGTGAAGGAGCTAAGCACTTTGCACAAGCATCCTGGAGGGACCATAGAAGAACTTAGAAGTAATTGTTTCTGTATCCATGCTGCTATTAGGAAACATACGCTTATGCTGCTCAAGGCTCATATTAGTTTCAGGGTCACGAGTCAAAGAATCGCATGCATATGACTTTCAAGACATCGATGTATCAAGAACTTAGAAGTAATGGTTTCTGTATCCATGCTGCTATTAGGAAATATACTCTTATGTTGCTCAAGGCTCATATTAGTTTCAGGGTCATGAGTCAAAGAATCGCATGCATATGACTTTCAAGACATCGATGTATCCCGAATTCCTGTGAGAACTGGATCGATGAACATTTCGACAATTGTATGTACTCTTCGATAGAACTATTTTTTACATTCGCCCAAACTAATTATTCAGTCTATAAGGGGATTCCTTGTGAAGAGCCATATAACCCCAATGGCCATATTCCCCCAAGTTACCCTACTGTCTTTGTCGAGGAACAGAGCACCTTAAGGGCACAAACGCATACAAGTTGCTGCATAAAACATAAATAAATAAATTGTAATGTTTATTAGGATTGAGAAGTCGACGCTGGTTCGAAAGGTGTTCTTATAATTGTCGAAAAGCTTTCATTTTTATTTCATTTCAAACGCCATCTCCTGAAATTTGCAATTGAAATTGGAGGTTTAAGGACGGAATAGCATGCCTTTTGTGAACTCAATGCTTGTCACAAAACAATGTGAAACTAAATAAAATGGTGCATGGAGTGTGCAGAAGTTGAATGGATTCGTGTTGCTGGTGGTCCCGTCCTCGGATGGAGAAATGACTCTGAAGACTTATGCAAAGTCTTATGCAAAGTCTGCAGTGGCATCAGCCGCAAAACATCGGGGAGGCTTGCATAGGCTTTCGACTTCGTTTTCAACGTGCTGATCTTGGATTCCAGCGCCACGGGTGAAGGCGTGCATCATAGAAGAAACCGAAAAGCTGTCTTGGTCTCATCCACGCCGTGAATAAAACACGAATCACAACGAGATCTTTTACAGTTAATGGTGGGGGGCATCTGGACCTTACGGCAGCAATCGGGAACCACCAATATCGGGGGTCTGCGTCTCGAAACCCAACCAATAAGGGGTCAATGAGTGGAATGTTGGTACTTGCCTGAACTTTTCGCGTCTTCCACTTCTACCCACTCAGAGTTCCATAACTGGACATTTTTAGAACGAAATGTATCAGTCACTCAAAAAGCTCGCGTTAAAAAGTAATTGCAGCTTTTTGAAATTTTATTATTCGATGACATAGTTGGACAGTCAATCAGAATCATACAAGATAACTCCGATTTTTTATTTTGGAAATATAAATACATCTTTGCCCCATCGGCATCGGAATTCCTGTTAAAGAAGTATTCTCTTCCTGCAGAAAAAAGTTATTTCATACAATTCCTCTTTTTTTTCTTATAAATATGAAAAACACACAAAACATCAGATTATTCGCCTTGATCCAACGAAGCAGTTTGAAAAGCCATATTTGTCGTGCCCGGGATAAGTGCGAGCATGAAGCGGACATTTTTCGCGGCTATGGGTGGGAAGGCAGGGTCTCGCACCTCCCAAGAGAAAAGGTTCTTCTCCCAAGAATTTCTTCGTCCGGGGTCTCTGAGCTACGGCGTGATGGGAGAGGCATACTTTCAGTTCTTTCATTCCAGTTCCACTTCCGTTCGTTTTCACTTCTGGCTGCTGAACGCGCGGGGCCTATTTGTAGCTTCAAGTTCCTCCTCAAATGACTCAAATAAACGATCGGAAAGATCACACAGCAGTGGTCGAGGAGGCTGCTGTGGTCTTAAAGTCAATTTGAATGAGGTGAGAAGTGGTTCTTGTTGCTCCCATATAAAGCATGTTCCTCCTGTTCATTCCTTCTTTGGTTATCAAAAATACCACCGGTACCTCCTCGCCCTTGAAATTTTCGGCTAGCATACCAACGACCTCGGCAGTCTTGGAAAGCTCTTGCAGCTTCTCTCCTATTTCCTTCTCTAGCTGTTCTTTATAGACTTCAAAATCTTCGCTATTGACAAAGAGGATGGCGATATTCCCGACAATATTCTTGAAGTTCTCTCTCACTTCTCTAACGATCCTATAAACCAAATCCTCGAAACTGAGCGCATCGAGCCTTCTCACCTTCCATAGAGTTCCAAAATATGAAATAGAGGGGAATGGCTGTCGGCTTGTGGCCTAACAGATTTACAGAATAAAGCAATGAGCTTTATTTGCTCGAATCATTTCCGCTTCGCTGATTATGATGGGAATCACAAGAACAAGGTGCTAAAGAAATCAGCTCTTCCACAATGTCTCACTGCACCTCTGCACCCTGAGCATGAATTTGATTTCGGATTTGGTTTCTCATTTGAAAGGAAAGTACTCTGAGATTCCAAATGAGGCCTTGGTACTCTTTGTCCGCACCAGGAAATTTTTCCGCATGAAAAGGCTGAATGCTGAGAGCGAAACTGAAAGAGGAAGGAGGAAATGGGCAAAAAATGAAAATATTGAAAAGCTGAAGTGCCAAAATCTCAAGAATTCCATTCAATCTGTACTGCCAATTACCCTCTCGCTTTGTTGTTCCTCTTTGTTTGGATGTTGACTCTCCGTCATAACATTTGACTCTCATAAAGCCGTATGCACACCTCTACGTGGTAGGAGAGAGGTAAGTATACATCACACGATGTACTGTATAGGCTAACGTGCAAAGCATAAGCATAGGGGAAGAAAGTGCAGGTTGAGCCTCATGCGATCCTGGATATCTTCTCGTTTACCCCAAGCACAAATAATCGCCAAATAGAGAAATCCTAGGTAAAGTTGAAATCCTAGGAGCTGTAATGAACTTCTAGCATGCCCGCACTCCATGAAGGCGAGCTGAGGGGGGGGGGTCCCATCCCTGCATGGTCTCACTTCATGCACATGCACGTGCCTCCAGTAACTGCGCTCCCTCCTCCGCTGCCAAGGCGCGTGAGCCACTCGGGCCTATCTGGTTATTCTATGTATCTTGGGGAAAAGTGGGGGAAGGGGGAGGATGGTTCTACCATCCATCCTTGCGACAGAATAGGGTCGAGAGCTCAGGTTGAGCAATTTCAAGTCCGGTCATTTTACCGGGTACTGGCCAGCCTCAAAATATGCGACGGCAGGAAAATTAAACTTTTTCCCTATGCATTTGATTGTCCTTCTGTACTTCAAAAAACAAAACATGGCATGTTGTACCATGTAATTTCAAGCCAGAACGCTTAATTGGAAAAGGAACAGACAGAATTTGTTGAACCCATCCAACAAATTCTAACTTTCATGCTCAACTCGTGTGATGCTGAAATCTCGTTCAAAATCCAAGGATGTATTGAAAAAATTGATTACCTATTGGAGAGCTCCTACCCAAATTATTGCACGTCTCCGAACGATGAACGGTTCCAGAGATGCAAATTTCCGTCCAGGGGATTTTTCCGTTTTCTCCATAAATTCGAGGAGGGGGGGGAAGGGAAAATTGATATCGTAATGACGCAGTTCTCTTGCCCTTAAAAGCTGGTCCAGTGACTCAGAACGACAATGAGTGGCCCAAAGTCGCTCAAAGTGACCAAAATCGGCCTTGGAATCTGGAGTTCCCTAAGTATCTTGTTATTCAGTCAGTCATTTATTTATTTAGTATACGCAGATATCATTCAAGTAGCATGACATATGGCACCATTAAGGGGGGGGGGGGAGGGAAATTCAACCTAAAATCACAGTAATACTTTTCCTGTAATTTGACATTTGCCTAAATCCTACGAGTGACCGAAACTGCTCATAGGCCACTCCTCAAGAGGCTAGATTCAATCTACAGGGTGAGTGTATTTTTGGCAATCTAGGTCGTGGACGTTGCGGAGGAAAATTCCTCCATCCACTTATGGGCTTCCTCTCTGTTATTGATATTTGATCTTAGTACAAGTCCCTTCCAATCGCCAGATGTCTTCTCCAGAACAACTTTGAAATATTTAAATTTTAGTTCATTCATAGACATCCATCAGATCATTCGGAGGAGGCGCGCGCATCAGTATGAAATAACTATTACAAACGCGCCATGTGGAACAAGCACGGACTAAAGAGCCGTGAGAGATGAGGCATGCGCAATCGCGTCTCTTGCATGCAGGAGAGGCTGGTGCCGAAGTCGAGGAAGGTTCACGCGTCTTCACCTGTTATGCACATGAGTGCCGAGATTGAGGAGGTATACATGCCTCCGGGAAGCCTCCTCCACCAACTTCACAAACCTGTTTCTTGTTTTGTGATGCTCTCGTGGGATATCATGCGGCGATGCAATGTCTCTTTCGGTAGCATTTTTCTACATGATGACCTACAAACGGATAAGCCCCATAGGAGGATCCAGAATGACGATGTCGTGATCTGTTGCCTGGATCGTGTTCAGTCCCTCATAAAGTCCTCCGTGAGAACGGACTTTCACCACCGTCTCCAAATTCCCCCCGTAAATGATATGAGGGGCATTCCCAAAGTTCTTGCCAAATGGCATTAAATATTGCCAGATTCTCATGTCTTGTTCTTCAGGGATTCAATAAAATTCGATGATTTTTTGAAAAATTGTTTTCCAAAATGGTGACATCTTTTGGCCTCACGCTACGCGTTGCAATATTGGTAAAACATTTTTTTTTAATCGCTGAATCTTATTAAAACCCTGAAAAAAAACACAATTTTTTTAATTTGTATTATGATCAGGCAATATTTAAAGCAATAACTTTTAGAGTGCCCCTCG